AATGAAAAGACCCTGTTTGCTAACAGTTTCATCGACTCATGTGTTATCAAATTTTCTGGTCTTTCTAAACAGATAAAGTACAGTTCTTTATGTTAACATTTTTTTTTTTTAAATGAGTGAGGTAGCACCTTTTCATATTTTAAAGAATCAATTATGTTTCCTTTAGCCCATTTTTCTGTTGGAGTATTGATCTTTTCTGTACTGATTTACAGGCACTTTATATTTTAGGGAAATTTTTTTCTGTGATATTAGTTGTAGATATTTTCTCCCAAATTTTCATTTGTCATTTGATTTAGCTTAATGGCCATCCTTGCCATGTAGAAGTTTTGAATTATATTAACTAGATCATTGACTTATAAAAATGCCATTTGGGTATTATTTCATACTCACAAAGTCTTTTTCTCTCTTGAGGTTGGAAAAAAATATTTTCCTAAGGTTTCATTGGTATATGTTTTTTGTATTTGTTTGTTAGGAAACATAGTTTTTACTTTTTAACTAAAAGTATTATTTTTATACAACTTTAAAAGGTTATACTGCATTTATAGCTATTACAGAATATTGCTATTATGTACTATGTATTGTAATGTCCTTGTAGTCAGCAATTTGTACTTCCAAGCCCCCAACCCCTGAATTACCCCTTCCTTAAACAGGCAACCACTGGATTGTTCTGTCTGTGAGTCTGCATTTTTTTTGTTACATTAACTATTTTGCTGTATTTTTTAGATTCCACCTATAAGTGGTATCATATTGTATTTGTCTTTCTCTGACTTATTTCACTTAGAATATTGCCCTCCAAGTCTATCCATGTTGCTGCAGATGGCAAAATTTCTTTTTTTATGGTTGAGTAGTGTTCCATGTGTGTGTGTCTGTGTGTCTGTGTGTTTCTTTATATGTATATATACCACATCTTTATCTTTTGGTATATTTTGGTTTACATTTTGTATTTTATTCCATTTGTAGTTTATAACTAAAATAGTTTTTCATTTTACTTCACCACAACTTCTCTTAATGATTTTATTACTACCCTGACTTCAGATTCCAGGGAGGAGATAAGATCAAGTAGATCTTACCTAAAATAGTTAGGATCAACTGGAAACATTGAAGGTGAAATGAAACAAGAAAAGGTTTTTGTAACAAATTCCAAAAGGATCACATTAGTTTCTTGGAGTCATAACCTCTCCTGCCTTTGGACCTCAACAAATGCCTGTTAATTCTCCCTCTCTTCCTGCTCCCTCTCCCAATCCTCCCCATTTTCCTGACTTTCTTACCATAAGGGCAAGGGCCTGATTGATTTGTTTGTTTTAAATTCCTAACACCTGGACTAGTACATGGTACATAGTGAGGTCTCAATATTTGGTAAGCTAAGAAGTAGAAATGCATAGAATGTTAATTGCCTACCCAAAATCCATTTCTGTGCAACCTCTGAATTTCTGCTCAGCTCAGCTCAGTTCTCCAGTTTCCTGGAGTCTAACTCGCCCTGTGTTCATTTAACTCAGGACCAAGGATCTGAGGAGTTTCTATAGATTCACCATTGGATGCATTTTTAATGAGACGTATATGCAAGAAGCAGATACTGCTCTGATGTGAGGAAAAATGTTCTGTAATAGTGTATGGTTACTGTCTTGAAGAAATCCCTCCTCTGTGATATATTTAATGCTGAGTATCTTTTAACAGGATCATTCTCCAAAATTTAATTTTTTTCTTTTGCTTTTTTGGGTCTTTAAGTAATAGATTGAAGGAAAATAAATAAAATGCCCAAGATTATGCATTTACATTATTTCTCATATTGATGAGTTGTTTAAGTGGCCCGTGGATCAGCTTATATGCAATTAGAGCAAATATTGGAGCTAGTGTCATTTTTATTATCATCTTTCTCATCCTCATTACTGTTATTTAAAATAAAGTCTCTATTTAAAAATACCACCATTCTTCACCTGTATGTCTTAGAGTACCAAATTCCAACCTCAGTAATTTGCTTCTTTGCATTATGTAATGTATTTCCAGATTATCAGGTTGAATGGTAATATGTAAGGGCTAACAGTTGAATTGATTTATGTTAATTAGCATATTGATTTGCTCAGTGTCCAGAGCTTGAGGGACTGAGACACAGGGTGAGCACCATTTTTAAAATTTTTTTTTAAACTTTTTATTTTGTATTGGAGTTAGCCGACTAACTATGTCTTTGATAGTTTCAGATGGATAGCAAAGGGACTTATCCATACAGGTGAGCACCTTTTTGATGGAGGGTCTGAGACCAAATTTTGGGAGAGTGGGCAGTCCAGTAGGGGTCCTGAACTTGAGGAAGAGTGCAGTGGTTTGGCTTCTGGACCCTGGATGTGGAGAGGGTGGAGGCTTTGAAAGGGGGCAATTTAAATTGTCCAGACTTTCTTCCACTTAATTTTTGTGGCCAAGCCTAATTCTTAGTTATGGACTGTCTTCAACACCCTGATATACCCATTGTAAGTTGAAAATAAGAAAAAAATGCATTTAATGCACCTAACCTACCAAACATCATAGCTTAGCGTAGCCTGCCTTAAATGTGTTCACAACACTTAATGGTTGGGCAAAAATGATTTAACACAGTGTTGAATATCTGATGTAATTTGTTGAATATGGTTTTGAAAGTGAAAAACGGAACAGTTGTGTGGGTACGGAATGGTTTTAAGTGTATTAGTTGTTTGTTGTCATGATCAGGTGGCTAGGAGCTGAGGCTCCTGTTGCTGTCCATCATGACAACAGAACTTTGTACCACATTTCACTAGCCCAGGAAAAGATCAAAATTCTAGCTAGATATGGTTTCCACTGAAGGTGTCTCACTTTCACACCATTATGATGTCAAAAACTCAAAGTTGAACTGTTGTTAAGTCAGAGACTGTCTAATTTTATTATGTAGATGTTTATTACCAGGTAAGTTTTAGTTAAATCTCACTCTTACCCAACTGTTTCCCTTATTAGAAAAATAGCTTGTTTAGGGTAAAGGAGAAGAAAAAGAAAGGTAAATAAGAGAGTATCTTTCCAAAAAAATTTTGGATGACTTATTTTCTTCTTTTCTTTTTTCTCTTTTCATGAGTCAGTGTGGATTTATTTTATTGACTTATCTTCAAATTCATTAATTTGTGTTTTCTGTTGTGCTGCTAACCCACTTGATAAATTATTAGTTTCTGATATTGAACTTTGCATTATTAGATGTCTACTTGATTTCTTTAAAAATAAAGATCCCAGTTCTCTGTTGGTACACCCCCTCTTGTTATCGTCACTGTCAGTCAACTTCTGTGTTACTTTACATGTTAACTATAGTTATTTTGAAGTCATTTCTGCAAACTTCAGTATCCGGAGCATCTCATCATTCTAACTCTTGGCTATTAGTCTCTTTACCTTGATTCTTCTCCCCTGGTAATTTTTTATTTCATGTGTGAAAATAAAGGAAGCCTCATTTAAAATGGAATCAGGAAGACTTGAAGGGGGGAGCTCTCAGCCACATATCATTCCCCACAACTTACAGACCCCAGTTGGAAGAAAGAATTCCTTCTGACCCATCAACAACAAGCTGTCTACTGCCTACAGCCAATAAAGAACTTCCACAGCCCTCACTAGTTTTCTCCTAAAAGCCTAATAAAGGCCCATTTTCCCCTAGTCTCTTCAGACTTGCCTGTGGTGCCCCCCGTAGTTTTGCATGTTCTGAGTTGCAATTCTTTTGCTCTTCCTGAATAAGCTCATTTTCCAACTGGCTGTGTTTTTTGCTTTTTTTTTTTAAGATCAACACAAGCTAGATATTGTGGATAATACTTTGTAGAAGCTCTGGATTGTATTAGCTTCTAAAAAGTGTTGAATTTTGTTCTTGTTGTTCAGTCACTCAGTTGTGTCCGACTCTTTGTGACCCCATGGACTGCAGCATGCAAGGCTTCCCTGTCCTTCACCACCTCCTGGAGCTTGCTCAAACTCATGTCCATTGAGTCTGTGATGCCATCCAACCATCTCGTCCTCTGCCATCTCCCCCTGCTTTCTTTCTTTTCCAGCGTCAGGGTCTTTTCCAGTGAGTCAGCTCTTCGGATGAGGTGGCCAGAGTATTGAAGCTTTTGGCTTCAACCTCAGTCCTTCCAATGAATATTCAGGGTTGATTTTCTTTTTAGGACTGACTAGAATTTTATTCTAGCTGCCAATTCAGTTACTGGCAAATCACCTCCATTCTGATGAGGATTGGATTTAGATTGTTAATTGGTTTAATTTCTTTCACCTTTGACCCAGGGTGTAACCTTTATACCTAAAGCATGATCTTTTTTTGTGACTCATCTGAAAGTCTGGGATCCAATATCCCTCTACTGTGGCTCTTAAGTGGCTGGAACTCCATCTTCCCAGCACTGTGCTGCTCCTGAAACTTCTTCCCAACTGTCCAGTATCCCAACCGTTATTCTCTTCTAGGACTTGAAAGTCTCACCCTCTGCTCATACAGCTTGGAGCCAAGGATGTGAGAATAATTTCTATAAAATTTCCAGTTCTTGCTCTGAAGTTCTCTCCTGTCACTTCCCCCACCCAGCCCCTGACCTCTGAATCCCAACCGCCATGGCACCCTCTGTTTCCTCTGTCCTTTGTAATGCAACTTTCTTCTTGGACTCAACTTCCTAAGCAGCGTAAATGTGATGAAGCTCGTTTTGCTTTCCTTCTTTCAAGTACTAGTTCTGTTTTAATTGCTGTCCAGTCCTGAAAATTGTTATTTTATGCATTTTGTCCTGAATATGTCAGTAAGTCTAAGTCTGGTATCAGCTATTCTGTCATGGATGGAACTGGAAGTCCCAGACTTTGATTTTTTTAATTGACACAGTAGTCAATGAGAGCTGGAGTTGGCAGATATTCTTGGCTTAATCTTATTTTTTTTTTCCTTTTCTTTCTTTAAATAAAAGGGGCTCTAATTAACAGTATTGATGTGAGTGGGTAGCTAGATTTATTAGAATTTTCAAATGCTTTGAAGAAAACTCCCATGAGTTATTTTACTTGAAAAGGTCTTCAGAGAACTATTAATTTACTTTTTCTTAAAGAGAAAGACTCCTCTCTGAAAGGCTATAGCTGTAGGAAACTCAGCATATGTTAATCCTTTCTAAAGAACTTGGTTGGAAAAAAAGTATAATTACTGTGGCTTTGCTTTCTGATTGGCCTTTCTTTCTGACTAGATCAGGAAATGCCTAGAGTATTTGTAGATCTAAAAATGATGACAAAGGAAATAGATCTAATCTCAAAACAAGTTTCTGATGTACACCAAACTAGGACACATTAGGTTAAATCTTAAAGTCTTTTTTAACGTTCTGTAATCTGAGATTATTAACGTTTTGAAGGTTTAAGAATATTAATTCTAGCAATTGACATCTTCACAGGTGACAGTGTAAATCACAGAGCTTAAAATTTCTTGGATACAGATTTATTTCAAATTGCCCCATGGCTATCAAGCAACTTTCACATGGTGGAGAATGCCAACTGTATTCCTTTCTGCAAAAGTAGAGGTTCCTTTTATTTATTTATTTAGTTTTTTTAGAGGTTCCTTTTAAAGGTGATTGCATGATAGGGCCTTGACAATAAACTAGTCCAGCGTCCTCTGTGGCAGCTTCTAAAATGGCTTCCAGTGATTCCCAGCCTCCTGGTATTTTTGCCTGTATTAGTTCACTAGAGCTGCCATAACAAAATACCACAGACTAGGCAATTTAAACACAGAAATGTATTTTTTCACAGTTCTGGAGGGTGGAAGCTCAAGATCAAGGTTTTGACATATTTGCTATCTCTCATATGGCTTTCTTCTTGCCTGATAGATGACTGTCTTCTTACTGCATCTTCACAGGGCCTTTCCTCTGCCTGTGAGTCCCTGGTATCTCTTCCTGTTTTCATAATGATTCTAGTCACTGGATTAGGGCTACTCTCATGACCTAATTTAATCTTATTACCTCTTTAAAGGCCCTGTCTCCTAATACAGTCACATTCTAAGATACTGAAATTGGAACTTCAAGATAAGAATTTTATGGTGACTCAATAGTGCCCTTGTGTAATCCCTTCCCCTTGAGTGTGGGATGGACCTAGTGACTGGCTTCTAATGATTTAAATATGGCACAAATGGCAATAGCTTGCTTTTGATATTGGGCTAAAAAGACTATGATTTTTGTCTTGTTCAGTCTTTTTTTCTGGTTCTTCTTGCTTGCTTGTTCTGATGGAAGCAAGCTGCCATGTTGGGAGTCCCCTGTGGAGAGAGGCCCACTTGGCAAGAAACAGAGGGTCTTGCAGCCTGCAGCTCCAAGGAACTGAGGTTCTCTGTCCAACAACCCAGTAGGAACTGAATCCTGCCAATGGCCACATGAGTGAGATTGGAAGCAGATTCTTTTCCACTCGAATCTTGAGATGACTGCAGTCTCAGCTGCCACGTGGACTACGATCTGGTGAGAGACTGAGCCAAAGGCCCACTTACTCTGCACCTAGATTTCTGACCTTTAGAAACTGTGAGATAATAAATGTTTTAAGCCACTGAGTTTTGGGGGTAATTTCTAACACAACAGTAGATGTACTCTCTATAAATTCTATATAAAGTGAGGGTAACTAATATATTCTCGTTTTGTCATTGTTGAGAACAAATAATAGTTACCACTTATAGACTATGTGTAGTACAGTGCTGTTTATTTCCATATATTATTTACTTTAATTCTCACAACAGCCTGTTTTTATCCTCAGTTTACAGAAAATAGATTTAAAATGGATTTGATAACATGTGCTAGGTCATACTCCTAAAGAGTGGTAAGTGGGGATTTGAGCCCACAGGCTCTATGAGTGTGTGTGTGGCCTTGTGAAAAACAAAAATATGGGGCTTCTTGTTTAAAAATTGTTAGGAATTTCTAGATGGTAATAGCAGAGTGTGAAATGAAGCTTCAAGCCATGAGGTTATATGCCATTTGGAGGGCACTGGAGAGACAGAATTGTTGGATGTCTTCCAGGATCTGGCACTGTTGCAGGTACAAGCTCATATAATCCTATGGCAACGATATGGGATTGAATGTTATCATCACATCCTATAGATGAGGAAACGGAAGCCCAGGGACACTCTGTACTTTTCCTAATATCAAATAACTTTTTCCACTGAGGAGTGTTCCCTTTCTGGAGTATAGCATTGAAGTTAATGAAATGTGATTAGCAAGCGTGGCCTGTCTTTAATGATTAGTCTCTTTAATGTTTTGAGGTATAAATGGGGCTGTGGACTTTGGAAGAATCACCTAGATATCCAGCAGGGGGTGTGGGAGAGCAGCACTTGGCTGGTAAAAAGGTCTGAGCTGTAGACGTGGCAAGATAGATCAGTATTGTAGCCTTGCTGTCTTGGTTTCACTTGTCTTCTAGCTTGTATTTCAAGGTCAGTGTCTTATCTTTGTTTTCCTTTTGGGAAAAGAATTGCCTTTGGCACTGTTATCTTAGAAGGAGCAGGAATTGATGTCATAGAGAAACACTAGTTTTGGATCCCATTGTACTTCATAGGGCCCGTAGAAGCTCTATGAGAAGTCACATGGGTTAAGGATCCCATCATAAAAGGCCTGGCCAAGGTGGCAGAGTAGGAAGACTCTGAGCTCACCTCCTCCCATAGGTACACCAAAATCACAACTACTTACAGTGCAGCTAGCTATCTACGAGAATGATCTGAAGACTAGCAGAAAAGATTTTCTACAAATAAAGATATAAAAAAAGAACCATAACAAGATGGGTAGGAGGGGCAGAAATGCAGTATGTTTGAGACTTACACTGCCAAAAATGGGACCCATGATTGAGGGTAAAATCACAATTGCAGAGGTTCCCCCCAGAAGTGAGCAGTTGGAGCCCTATATTAGCTTCCCCAGCTTGGGAGTCCTGTACCAGGAAGAGAAGCCCCCAGAATGTCTGACTTCGGAAGCCAGACTTGTGTACAGTAGAGCAAGAGGGCTGTAGGAAACATACTCTGCCCTTAAAGGGTGCATGCAAAAGTCTCACATGCTCTAAGTTCCAGCACAGAGGCAGTAATTTGAAAGAAGTCTGAGTCAGGTCAACTTGCTGATTTGGAGAGCCTCTCAGAGATGCAGGAGACAACTGGGATTCCTCCTGGGACACAGACATTAGTGATAGCAACTTTTGGTAGCTCATTCTATCACAAGGACACTGGTGCTGGCAAGAGTCATTTTGGAGTCTTCCCTCTAACCTCTTAGTAGTGGGAGAGTACCTGCTCAAAACAGTAGGCTGGCACCATCCTAGGATACTCTAGGCAGTACAGACAGCCATATTGGGATTTATATCACCCACCATTGGGCCAGCAACCACCACATGATGCAGGACCTGGGAGCCAGCAGGGCTAGGGTCAGCCCTGCCTACCAGTACACCCATGGTAGTAAACCTTTCCACAGCAGAAGGACCCATACAGCCCACATAGTGGATACCTTGAGTATATGCCTCTGGTAACCAGAGGGACTGTGTTACTGGATTCCCTATGACAACTCCAGTGTAAGGAACACTTCAAGTTTAGGAAATGTGATGGTATACCTAATACATAGAAATAAACACAGAGAATTAGGCAAAATGAGGAGAGAGAAGAATATGTTCCAAATGAAGAAAAAGAACAAAATTTCAGAAAAAGAATGAAAGTGGAGAAAGCAGTCTGTATCATAAAGGTGCTCAATGAATTCAGGGAAAGAACAGACAAGCAGTGTGAATTTTAACCTAAAAGTTAGAAAACACAATGAGAAATCAAACAGCTGGAGAATACAATAATGGAAATAAAAAGTAAATGAATAAATGAGATTATTTGATATAGAGGAATGGAATAGTGAACTAGAAGACAGAGTAGTGAAAATCATGCAGAACAGGAAAAATGAAGAATGTTTTAAAATGAGGACAGTTTAAAAGATCTCTGAAATAGCATCAAGCATACTAAGATTTGCATTATAGGGGTCTCAGAGGGAGAAGAGAGAGGAAAAGGGGTAGAAAGCTTATCTGAAGAAATAATAGCTTAAAACACCTCTAACCCAGGAAAGGAAACAGACACCCAGTTTCAGGAAGCACAGGGTCCTGAACAAGATGAGGCCAAAGAGGTTTACACTAAAGACACTTTATAACTGAAATGACCAAAATTTAAGATGAAGAGATACTCTTAAAAGCAGCAAGATAAAAGAAACTAGATATGTACAAGGGCACTTCTGTGAGATACTCAGCTGACTTCAGCAGAAACTGCAGGCTAGAAGGGATTGGCACCATACATTCAAAGTGGTGAAAGGAAAAAACCTACAACCAAGAATATTGTACCCAACGAGGCTATCATTCAGTTCTAAAGGAGAGATAAAGAGTTTTACAGACAAGCAAATGCTAAGAGTTCAGACCCACTAAATCAGCTTGACAAGAAATGTTAAAAGTGGGGAAAAAAAATAACACAACTAGAAATATAAAATTTATGAAAGGAAAAAAAAAGTCTGATTGGTAAAGTCATTTGTGCAGTAAAGGTAGTAGAACAATCACTAATACAGTTAGTAGGAAGATTAAAAACAAAAGTAGTAAAATCATCTATAGCCATAAGTAGTAGTGGGATAAATTCCTGGAAAAATACAATCTTTAAATACTGACTGAGGAAGAAAGAGGAAATATGAACAGATCAATTACTAGTAATGAAATTGAATCAATAAAAAAAAAAACTCCCAATAAACAAATGTTCAGGACTAGATGACTACACAGAGTTTTACCACACACTTAAAGAAGAGTTAACACCTGTCCTCAAACTATTCCAAAAAATTTAAAAGGAAGAAATGATTTCAAACAGTTTTTTGAGGCCAGCATCACCCACTACCAAAACCAAACAAAGACACTACAAAAAAAAAAAAAATACAGGCCAATATCACTGATTTGTTTTTTGAAAGTCGCCTAGCTGTGTCCAAATCTTTGCAACCCCATGGATTATATATTCCATGGAATTCTCCAGGCCAGAATACTGGAGTGGGTAGCCTTTCCCTTCGCCAGGGGATCTTCCCAACCTAGGGATCGAACCCAAGTCTCCTACATTGTGGTTGGATTCTTTACCCGCTGAGCTACCAGGGAAGCCCAAGAATACTGGAGTGGGTAGCCTATTCTTTCTCCAGCAGATCTTCCCAACCCAGGAATAGAACTGGTTTCTCCTGCATTGCACGTGGATTCTTTACCAACTGAGCTATCAGGGAAGCCCCTGATAAACAGATGCAAAAATTCTTCGACAAAATATTAGCAAACTGGATTCAACAATACATTAAATGGATCATGATTAAGTGGGATTTATCTCATGTCTATAAGGGTGATTCAAATCCACAAATCTGTGTGATACATCCACAACTTAAGAATAGATATTGTATGATCATCTTAGATGTCCAAAGTGGAAAAAGCTTTGGTCAAAATTCAACATCCATTGGTGATAAAAACTCTCAACAAAGTAGGTGTAGAGAAACATACCTCAACATAATAAAGGTCATATATGACAAACCCACAACCAACATTGAGACTCAATGAGGAAAAACTGAAAGCATTTCCTCTAAGCCCAGGAAAAAAAAAAAAACAAGGATGGCCACTCTCCCTACTCTTATTTAACGTTGTATTGGAAATCCTCACTACAGCAATCAGACAAGAAAAAGAAAGGAATCCAAATTGGAAAGGAAGAAGTAAAATTCATTTTTGCAGACAACATGATATTATAATACAGGAAATTCTAGATGCCACCAAAAACTATTAAAACTAATAAATGAATTCAGTACAATTGCAGTATACAAAATGAATATGCAGAAATCTGTTTTGTTTCTATACACTAAGCACAAACCAACAGAAAGATAAATTAAGAAAACAGTCCATTTATAGTTGCATTGCAGCAAAAAGAATAAGATACCTAGGAATAAACCTAACCAAAAAGGTAAAAGATTTGCTCTCTAAAAACTATAAGACAGTTATGAAAAAAATTGAATACAACACAAATGGAAAGCTATGCCATGCTCATGGATTGAAAGAATTAACAGTGTTAAAGTAACCATATTACCTAGTCAATCTATAGAGTCAATAGAATGCCCATTTTTTTTTTCTAATCCAAGGGTAGAGAGGAGCAACGAAGGGGGCCTTCCATGTAGAAGGTGGGGCTGGGAGACCACGAAAGGAGGGACGAATGTATATCCAAGTCACTCAGGAACTTTTATGCAGGTGCAAGAAACTCATGTCAAAGTAGCCACAAGATTGTTTAATAGCAGACGGACGAATGTAACTCCATGTTTACTGCTAGAAACCAAAGCTTTGTATGAAATCTTGAATTTATGGGGAGGGAGGGAGGGTAGAAAAGCATGTACCCATCTGTTCTTTTCCTCATTCCTGAACGGCCGGAGACAAAGCCCCTTGGGCTTTGGCGACCCCATCTGGGTGTTTATTTGATGGCTGG